ATTACCCTTTTTTGGAAAGTAGAATTTTCAGAGAGGCATGTTGAGTCTATGGAACATTTCATTTTTTGCCAAAGATTTTGGAAAATGACCATTTTTTTTTTTATTTTTACACAAGGTTGTCAGTTAAATGATATATTGCTCACACATGCCATGGGTGAAAGTAGGTAGGTGGTCTTTTTCCTGTTCCACTTCAGTTTTATTGGCATAACATCAGGATTATTATACTGTAGTCTTTAGGCAAACACACCCTCAGACCATCCAATTAAATACATGTACATTGTTTTACCTTAACTCAACAATTATTTGTATGAGGTTTGCATTTTCACTCTTCTGCTTTATCTATCATGCCATATCTGGTCTATCGCCCAGACCATGGCTGTAATCTGACCCAACGCCCAGACCATGGCTGTAATCTGACCCAACACCCAAGTTGTGGTTAAAACTTTTCAGAAGTGAGAGTAAACCTTATCTGCTTTTTTGTAAAGTTTGCAAAAACACTTATTTCTACATGAAGCTGGCATAGACAGTTTTGTTAGTGTGCACATATCTCATATATGTATGTTAAACTAGCATCTTGTATTAGTGTATACAAAATGGATTCAGTTATATTCCATTTAATCCTTTCAATGGGTATATGTGGAATAACACCCCAAAATACATTCTGCTACTTCTCCCGAGTATGGAGACACCACACGTGAGAAACTTTTTGGCAGCCTAGCCAAATACAGGCCCCCAAAATCCAATGGCCACCTCCAGGCTTTCAAAGGGCATATTTCCTCATACACTATATTGCCAAAAGTATTGGGACACCTTTCCAAATCATTGGATTCAGGTGTTCCAATCACCTCCATGGCCACTGATATGTAAAATCATGCACCTAGGCATGCAGACTGCTTCTAAAAACATTTGTGAAAGAATGGGTCGCTTTCAGGAGCTTAGTGAATTCAATCAGTACCTTGATATGTTGCCACCTGTTCAATAAGTCCATCCATGAAATTTCCTTGCTACTAAATATTCCACAGCAAACTGTTAGAGGTACTATAACAAAGTTAAAGTAACTGGGAACAACAGCAACTCAGCCACAAAGTGGTAGGCCATGTAAAATGGCAGAATGGGTTCAGCGCATGCTGAAGCGCACAGTGCGCAGAAGTTGCATATTGTCTGCACAGTCAATAGCTAAAGACCTCCAAACTTGGTGTGGCCTTCAGATTAGTACAACAGTGCATAGAGAGCTTCATGGAATGGGTTTCTATGGCCGAGCAGCTGCATCCAAGCCTTACATCACCAAGTGTAGTGCAAAGCGTCCGATGCAGTGGTGTAAAGCACACCGCCACTGGACTCTAGAGCAGTGGAGGCATGTTCTCTGGAGTGATGAATCACGCTTCTGTCTGGCAATCTGATGGACATGTCTGGGTTTGGCAGTACTTGCCTGACTGCATTGTGCCAAGTGTAAAGTTTAGTGGAGGGGGGATTATGGTGTGGGGTTGTTTTTCAGGGGTTGGGCTTGGCCCCTTACTTCCAGTGTAGGGAACTCTTAAAGCATTGGCAAACCAAGACATTTTGGACAATGTCATGCTCCCAACTTTGTGGAAATAGTTTGAGGATGGCCCCTACCTGTTCCAACATGAGTGCACACTACTGCACAAAGCAAGGTCCATAAAGACATAGATGAGCAAGTTTTGGGGTGGAGGAACTTGACTGGCTTGCACAGAGTCCTGACCTCAACTCGACAGAACACCTTCGGGATGAATTAGAGTGAAGACTGAGCCAGGCCTTCTCTTCGGACATCAGTGCCTGACCTCACAAATGTGCTTCTGGAAGAATGGTCAAACATTCCCATAGACACACTCTTAAACCTTGTGGATAACCTTCCCAGAAGAGTTGAAGCTGTTATAGCTGCAAAGGGTGGGCCAACTCAATATTGACACCCTACGGATTAAGACTGGGATGCCATCACAGTTCATGTGCGTGTAAAGGCAGGCAGCCCAATACTTTAGGCAATATAGTGTATCACTTCCTCACTACCTATCACAGTTTCACCTATCGCTGAAATGGCGGGATAGTACAAACACCCCCCCCCCCCAAGTGGCCCCTTTTTGGAAAGTAGACGCCCCAAGGAATTTGATAAGAGGCATGGTGAGTATTTTGCAGATATCATTTTTGTCACAGGGTTTTCGTTTTTTTCTTTGTTTTGCAAAAACTTGTGGCAACAAATGAGATCTGCAAAATACTCACCATACTTCTTGGCAAATACTTTGGATTATAAAGGTGATTCAGCGAGCGCTAAGATGATAACATAAGCTGCTGATACACTACAAGGAAACCATATAACCTCTTGAATATATACAATATGAAAAAGTGCAGCGCTAATAAACAAATTAAATGTGCTATATCAGAGACTGGCCACACCCTCAAATAGACAGTATGAAGTCCATAGGAACAATGTCCCGGTAAATGACAAATGGATGAAATCGTGACTTTGTTACTCCCAGTGAGGCACTCGTCAAAACGTGTAGGAAATATAAGACATGCGCACTCACCAGATGCGCATTAGGTAAGCGCAATATTAATAGCCAGAGGTCCCCTCTTATCCTGTGGAAGATGCAGTTCACACTGGACAGGCTGTCCCACAATACTGGCACCTCGAGAGATCTTCTCTACTGGTGGAAGCTGCGATGGGGGTCAGCTTATATGAGTCACTTATTTATTTTGCTTTTTTAAATTATTTTTACACTGTACCTTTTATTTTTTTTTTTTGATCAGTTGTATTGTTATCACAGGGAGTGAAAACATCCCCTGTGATAACAATAGGCAGTGAAAAGTATTCTTTTCTGAGAAATCTGGGGTCAATTAGACTCTAGATCTCTCCTCTGCCCTTAAAGCATCTGGTCTCACCAAGATCGGAGTGATCAGATGCTTTCCCAATTTTAAAATGGCGCTGTTTATAGCCAGCAAAACGGAAATGATTAAATGCTCGTAGCTTCCGGTCCTTTAGACCATAGAGATGTTTGGAGTCATTCCAGTCTCTGATCAGCTCTATTGTTAACCCAGTGGAACTGCCAGCTGCATTTTTGGGTTCCTCGGCCGGATGGGACAGTCCAAGCAAACCTTGGAAGGCATTGGGAGGGGTGGTAGAGTCCTTTCCCTCTGCTTGTAAAAACGATTCAGTGACTAAATAGCAGCTAGGATAGTTTTTACATGAAAGTCGACACCAGCTGAAAAAAACAATACTAGGAAGATGTCTGTAGGTGCAGCCATCATCCTGGTATAACCACTACCAGTATATTGCTGGTCCATGTTGGGAATATATGTGTAGGGAACTGTTGGCATTATTTTTTACACTAGTTGTGGTTTGTTTACATTCATATACAGCCACTACCATAGAGGTCCCATTACAGACAAGTCCCTAGGTGTGCTTCCTGCTCCTACAAGGAGGTCAAGAAACCCCAGGATGTTATATAGTTTGTTTTTCCAGGAAGTATCAGGCAGAGGGTGCCAGCCTGCCATGTGCTGTGTATCTGGGGAGAACTGAATGGTGATTCTGTGAGTAATGATCCAGATTAACAAGGCTACTATCTATCTAGTTGTTACTGAAGCAGATTAGGTCTGCCTCTGTTATATTTCAACTTCTGTATTGGAACCCTAATATCTCTGTAAGAGAGAGATTTGTGGTTCATTATCATTATTCTATTTACACACTGCAGAATCCTTATAGTGTTTTAGTCACGGACTGAAATCGTCCACTGCTTATCTGTTCCTGTCCTAATTTATGACGCTAGCTTTGAAATGTGCGCACATTGGAAGGGACTCACGCTGTCACACAAGTTCAGTCTATGAATACTTCTAGTTTATTATAATGAGAAAGTGAACTTATATATGCAGAATGATGCAAGAGTCATGTGACAACAGCATAAGCATTTATATTAGTCTTTGATTGGTCATTTCCACACGAAAACAATCTCTGTCATGGTATAGGTGTGATCTTCTTCCATCTTATCTTATAGAGAAGAAAAACATTCCTTTGTTTCCCAAATCACACGGTGGGGAGGGGTCTGTGTGTGTGAGCAGACATTTCTTAAGCAAGGATTTCTTATAGTACTACAAAGCCCAGCAGGCAGAAAATATTCACATAACATATGTATTAAAGTATAAAAGTAAATACTTATAAAACTTATAGAAATAGCATATATATATATATATATATTCAAATAGAAAACGAAATAGGCATTTTTACCAAATCCATCACAGTCCCCCCTTAAAATGACTATTTTACTCTGTCCCTATAAGACCTAGCTCATCTGTCCTTCTGTACCTTGGAACTCTTTTATGCTGTATGTTAGACAGGTGATGACTATTTCATCACCCCCCTTGACACAGACTTTGTACATAAGGAAGTCAGATGCTATCCCTACAAAATTGTGAGATTACTATTGGCGGGGAGGGACCGTAATGGGGTATAAGGTTTTTCTTCATCTACCATATGGAGATCCTCTTGCTCCTGGTTCAGGAAGGTAGGTGTTCTGTTGGCTACAGCTTTGCTCATCAATTTCCTCACACATGGTATAAACACAGCATACAACCAGGGCCAGGAGAATCAGAATTATTAGTACAGTTACACCTATTTGGGCAAGTATCTTTTGCCACCCCACTCATCCAACTGAAATATTGATCCCACGGGTCTGTGATCCCTGAAATTCTTTTTCAACTCAACTGACAGATCTTCCAATTTCTTTATAGACAGAGTAACCTTACCATTCGAGCCAGTATTGTCAGGATAAATGTACAACATGTTCCGGTTCCTTCTATCATTTTACAGACACCTCCTTTTTCTGCTAAAATCATGTCCAGAGCCATTCTATTCTGGAATGTCATGTAGGATGTAGGGGCTAGCTGGTCAACGATTCCTTGAAGGGCATCCCTGGTATAATTCATAAACCTCTGTGGGTTGTAGTATATGTAATGTAGCTAATCTACATTTTTATTAACAGCTATCATGGGAATCAGGGATTCAAAACCTGCTTTACTTGGTCTCTGGCTTTAAATTTATTAGGCACCCCCCTTGGGACTCCAATGGCATCTATATACACATGTGGGTCAAAACTGTATTAGGCACCCCCCTTGGGACTTCAATGGCATCTATATACACATGTGGGTCAAAACTGCCAGAAGGAGCTTTTCGCTTCCTCCTACGGCCAGGCGTTGGGTCAGGGGTATTTTTCTGCTAGGATGTGGAGAGGCATAATGACCTTTGCAAGGGCGTACTCACCAGTCCAAATCCCTTCCAATCTGATTCTAATCTTTTGGTCCCCAGTAATCATCCATGACATATATGTATACCTGGTCACTGCTATCGGAACATGCTCGTTGTGTCAAGATCATATAGATTATGGTCATAGCACCACATGGGATCTATACTACAGAAATCAAAGGTGAAAATAGCTACATGAGTGTTGGATGAGTTTTACCAAAATATAGTGGTGTCACCTATTTCGGTGATATCCACCTGTTGAGCCTCTGTCAGACTCATTAGAAAAAGGATATACAACATAGTTGTCATGGTGTAGATGACGCCTTTCCCTCAGGGTTTGGGACTTTTTCTTGCAGTGGGAGGCGTGTATCCAAGTGTTCTTCCCGGCCACTTTGTCAGAAGGGGCTGTGGTCAGCAGAACGTGGAAGGGACCATCATATCTTGGCTCAAGGGAATGTTTCCTCATAAATATCTTTACTAATACCCAATCTCCAGGTAATAGGCTGTGTGAGTTCCTGTATCTGACTCAGAATCTGGAATGGAGAAAACACTTGGACATGGATACGGGTTAATTCACGTGATAATACAGTCACATAATCAGTTAACACATCAGACTGTAATTGCAACTGTTGTGGAAAATAACAACCAAGTCTGGGGCTGAACCAAAAAAAATCTCATAAGGGGATAGGGAGTGTTCTCTCTTGGTGTGTATCTGACACTAAATAGGGCATAAGCAGACTGTCTGGCCAACTCATGCCAGTCTCTTGGGCTACTTTTAGCATTCTTTCTACTTTACCACTACTTTGGGGGTGATAGGGGGTATGGAACGCCAGAGTGACTCCTAATGCTGCCCATATTTCTTTGGTTACTGAAGTTGTGAAGGGCGGGGCCCTCGTCACTCTCTCTATCACCTCTGGAAGCCCATATCTGCATACATACAACCTCAGTGAGGAGTTTCTTCGCAGTTGTTTTAGCAGTCATGTTGGTTACAGCAAAGGCCTCTGGCCAACTGGAAAACATGTCCAACACCACTAGGGTGTACTCAACCGCCCACACTCTTTGGCATCTGGATATGATCAATTTGTATCCTATGAAAAGGGTATAGGGGTTTGGCCAAGTGTTTCTGTGGTGTCTTCTCTGTGCGTCCTGGATTGCATTTTGCACAGATGGCACATGTTCTGCAAAAATTGTTCATCAATGTGGTGATTCCAGGCGCTATATAGTACTTGTTGATGAGAGAGTTCATGAGGCTCTTTGACAGATGGGCTGCTCTGTGTGCCCACTGGACTACAGCTGGAAACATATTCTTGGGTAAACAAAGCCTCTTGTTGCACTCAAACAGACCGTCTTTGAGAATAGCTCCTCTCCGTCTCTAGCTTTCTTTTTCTTCTGGACTTGCTGCTTCTTGGAATTCCTTGAGGTAGCTTCTGTCCACAGGTAAGGTCTGTAAGGTGAATATTGGTTCCCACTCTCCGGTCACCTCTCCTTTCATTTCTGGTGGTCCCATGGCCGCTCGTTTTGCCGCCAAATCTGCCAGATTATTGCCTTTGGCTTCTGAAGAGTTTAATTTCCCATGAGCTTTTACCTTCAGAATAGCCACTTGAATGGGTAGAAGGAGTGCTTCCAGCAGTCGCCCAATGGCTACTCCATGTCTTAGGGATGTACCTGCCGCAGTCATAAATCCTCTTGCCTTCCATATGGGTCCAAAGTCATAGGCCATCCCAAAAGCGTATCTGGAGTCTGTGTAGATATTGTCCCTTTTTCCTTCCGCCATCTGGCATGCTGTTGTAAGTGCTTGAAGTTCAGCTCCCTGTGCAGATATTGCTGGCGATAGGGCTCTTGCCTGTAGGACTGTGTCTGCAGTAGTGACCGCAAATCCTGTATAATATATTTGTCTCCATCGTCTGCATATCTGGAACCATCAACAAAAAAGGTGAAGTCTGGATCCTGCAGAGGTGTTTCACTCACTGTGGGGAGATGGAAGATTTCCATTTTTATCACTTCAAAACAATTATAAGGCTCAGTGGCTCCATCATCCTCTCCACTTTCTGCATTACCTTCATTACCCCCCTCAGCAATTGGGAGGAGAGTGGCCGGATTCAGGGATTGGCAACGTAGGAGAGTGACGTTATCAGAAAGTTGGAGGGAACACTGTAGTCTAAGATGCCTCGCTGTGGACAAATGTTTAGGTTGGACTTGGTTTAAAATGGCAGAAATGTCATGCGGCGCCAGAAGAACAAGTTCATGTCCCAGTACGATATCAGAGGTCTTATCCAGCAGAGCGGAGCAGCGAAAACTGCACGCAGACACAAGGGTGCTCCTCTAGCCACTGGGTCTAAATGGCATGAGTAGTAGCCTACGGATCGTAGGCAGTCTCCGTGGGACTGGGCCAATACTCCTGTGCCATGGCCTTGGCGTTCAGACATGAACAGTTTGAAAGGTTTCTCGTAGTCTGGTAGAACTAGGGCTGGGGCTGAAGAAAATAAGCGTTTTAGAGCCAAAAAAGTTGGAGTCGGCCTCTTCGGACAGATGGAAGGGCTCAGACTTGAGAGCATCGTAGAGTGGTTGCATAAACCAAGAAACATCAGGAATCCATGACCTACAGTAGGATATGAGGTCAAGAAAGGCGTGGAGTGGCTTCTGGCCTAACGGCAGTGGCAAGTTCTGGATGGCCTTAACTCTTTCCTCCGTAAGATGCCTTGTTCCATGTGAGAGGCAGTGGCACAAGAACACGACTGTTGTAGAGCACCATTGCAACTTCGGTTTAGAGGCCTTACAGCCTTGGTGTGCCAAATAACATAGTAAACTCTCCGAGGCTTCTTTAGCCGTGGGCAGGTCATCAGCACAGACGAGAAAGTCATCCACATATTGAAGAAGGACCACTGCCGAATGTTCCTTTTGCCACGTACCCAGTATGGTGGTCATGGCTTTGGCAAACTGGCTCAGGGAATTTTTCGCCCCCTTGTGGCATAACTGCCCAGGTGTATTGCTGCCCCTCATGGATAAAAGCGAAGAAGTATCTGCAGAGAGGATACAAGGGAACGCTGGAGAATGCATTTGCCAGGTCCACCACGGTGAAATACTTTGCTGTGTTGGAGATACCCCTGTGAGTAAAGTGTGGGGATTTGGAACGATAGGTGTCTCTAAGACAGTGGCTTCATTCACTGCTCGGAGGTCCTGTATCATCCTGTACTTCTCTGGTTCTCCTTTGGGTGTCTTCTTTTCTTATCGGGAACAAAAGTGTATTACATGGAGAGGTACAAGGTATGAGTGCACCATTTGCCACAAGGGACTTGACCTGCTTCGAAATGGCCTTGGATTGCGCTGGTTTCAGTGGGTACTGTGGTTTCCTGGGTAGGGGAGCTCCAGGCTTCAGTTCCACCATAATTGGGGGTACCTTTTAAACGTCCAAATATCTTCGGGTCCTGTGGACCATAGACAACTTGGGATTCTGCTCAGCACATCCGGTGCTTTGTAGAATGTACCATTAACTTGTAAGACCGGACACACTGGGTAGAGGCGGCTCACTCGAGGCGTTGGCCTTCCAGTTGTCTAATTTGGTGTACCATTATGGCCGCCTCCAGGAAGTGTACTGGGCAGGGCAGGAAGGGACAAAGCAGGTGCAGCAAGATGGCTGCCATCAGGAAGTGTACTGGGCTGGGCAGGAAGGGACAAAGGTGCATCAAGATGGCTGCCATCCGGAAGTGCACTGGGCTGGGCAGGATTGTTCCTGCCCTCCTTTGTTCTGAATTCTATCATCATAGGGCGGTGGTTTTAGCACACTTCCATTTTCACTTTTATGATACACATACATTATACAATTGCCTTTTTCTTGAATTTCTTCCAACTATCCTTTATGCAACGCTTTTACAGTTTTGTACCAAACTTCTGTCACGTTCAGCAAACCTTTATCACATAAAATTCCTCTCTGTTCCTACAATGATTTATGCCAGTCCTGACCTTCAGCTTACAAACTTTCGCTACTTTAGATAACTTTTTTAACTGGTTCACTTCCTTCACACCTCTTCACAATATGACATGCCAGTAATCCTTTTCAATATTTAACACATTAATGGTACACATAAACAGTTTTTTTTTTTTTCTTTTTTTTTTTTTTTCCCCTGTAGCAATACCTGTTCTGTCCACTACTCTTTGTGGATAACTTTGGCTACATTATACCAAGCTTCTTGCTGTCTTCAGCACATTTTTTTTTTTGTCAACTAAGACATCTTTCTTCTCCTTTTTTTTTTTTTTTCCTCGCCATTCTTTTGGCTGTAAACGACCTCCCTTATCTGTGATTCCACATACTTTCACTAACTTAACTAATCCCTTAACATACTGCTCCCCCTCCCTCTGTGCAACCAGGTCACGTGCTAACATTCCTTTCTAGGGGTCTTATCAGCATCTGACCCATCTCCTCCTGTCTCTGGTCCTTCCTAACAGAAATCTAAGACACTTCACAGGCTGCTGTCCAGACTTTCCTTAACCCTTAACAAACCCCAACCTTCTGTTATGAATGGCAAACATTAACTCACAGACACACATTTAGGACATAACATAGCAGTCTATCTTGGTGGGCTATGAGTACAGATCACTGAGTAAATCTTCCTAGTCCCCAAAAAAAATGGCTAAGGCACCACGCTGCCACACTAAAGTGATGTGTAACCCGACACCTCCTCTCTTGTGGTCAACACACAAGGTTACCACACACCCAGAGAAATTATGTGTCAAAACCCTCAGTAAGTCCACTCCTCTTCCACCTCAAGACTGATACATAAAAACACACAACAGAGACCCAGGTAACAGATAAGCACATGCAGGTATATTTAAATAAACTCCGGGCAAGCAAGGTTACCTGCCTTTAGTGACCTTTAGCAGCCGTACTAGGCACAGGTATGAATCAACAACAAAGACAGGATAAGCAATGGTAAGATAGCAAAATATATCTTACCATGCTCCAGAGGTGATCAATCTCCAGCCTGTCCAGTTTGACTGACAGCTAATGCCCTTTTCATGTCGGCTGGCTGCAGGTTCATTACTCAGTTCCCGGTTTCTTGGCACCAATTGTTTTAGTCAAGGACTTAATCGTCCACTGCTTATCTGTTCCTGTCCTAATTTATGACGCTAGCTTTGAAATGTGCGCACA